GTTCAGTAATTAAATTATTTAGTGTTGTTGTTTGGTGTGCTTTTCCACCAGGGAAGTAATGAATGAACAGTCTTAATAAAACTTCACCAGTTTGTGTCTCCAAGGGTGATATAAGGGATGGAAATGTCCTGGTCACTAACTGAGAAGAATTTGTAAAATACATTTCATCGCTATATTCTTCTTCGCTTTTGTGCTCTTCTGATAGCTGCATAGATAATTTCGGGCCTCAAATTCCTTCCTGCTGCTCTCCTGCAGTTTTGTACGAAAAAGAGCCATTCTGACTCAGTTATATAGGGTTTTTTTATCTCAGGGCATGACTCTGGTGCTTTTGTTGTGGGAGTATAACTCTTTTCTAATAAAAGTTGTTTGCATCCTGAGAACCAGATGACTGAAGAGCTGTTCCCTTGAGTTTTTCATTTTATGTTCATGTGGTATTACCATGTGTCTCTGTCATTGATTATCAGGACAGCATGTGTTTGGGTGGAGTCTGGAGTAAAGCTGTTGTGGACGTAAAAACTGAGGGAAATCTCTGCGGTTGCAGCAGTTTCTCCTTCGTTGTCATTTTGATTTCCTTTGCGGGGCTTTCTCTTTGCTTGGGCAGGGTTCTTTTGCACTTCCTATGGAGATAAACCAATCTTTTTCATTTTGTGGCCAGGTAAGAAGAACAAGTTGCGAGTTTACTATTTGTCCTGGTTAAGAAATAAAATCCTTCACAACGACCCTGAAGTAGAAAAGAAACAGGGCTGGACAACGGTGGGCGACTTGGAAGGCTGTGTGCACTATAAAGTTGGTGAGTAGCAAACGCGGTAATCAAATTGTCAGGATAAAAGCTGGCTGAGAAAGGGAACTGCAGTGCGCGGAGCTGCTGGGTTGAAGATTTGGTTTTATTTCTAGCTGTCTTCCCAATCCCTCAGGGCGAAGTTCTCTGGCATAGCACCAGAGTAGGTGGCAAGTTACTGGGTTAAACTGAATATGGGAGAGGTTTTGCAGTGGGATGCTGGGCTGTGAACTAGAGCAGGCACAAATCCCCATCTGTCTCCTTGCCGTGGTGGATGCAACTTCCAGGAGAGTGCTAATGCGGACAATGAAAGCTGGTGACCTTTTGCTGCCTCTGTTAGACCCTTTAGGTAACAGAGGGGCTTCTTGTCAGCCAACAGCTGTTCACTCTACTAGCACATTTTCCTGGTCTTTTGCCTTGATGGCATCACATGCTGGAGTGGAGTGAAAAAAGTCTCCTCTTTAATATAGATTTTAAAGACTGGGGGGAAAAAAAAAAAGAGAGTGGGAGGAGAAAGCAAACCCAACTAGTGCACGAGCTTTGGAGAGGCATCTGGCAACAGAAGCATATGTTTAGCTTCAAGATGATTCATTGATTCCCCTTAGCTCATGAAATTTCCTAATGCTGTCTCAGATCCACTGCAATACAGTTATGGGATGAAGCGTGTTTTCACTGGGCAGGTGTCTTTTGAGTGGTTTTAAGTCATTTAAATGGTTTTAGCTGTAGAAATTTCCACCAAAACCGGTGAAGGACATGTAGTATTCAGCCAGCAGAATATGCAGTGAGCCTGCTGCCCTGCAGGTGGGGATATGAACCAAGAGCTCTTTCTCCTGCTTCAGTCTCACGATGCATCTTAACAGGCCCTGGATGTTGCCTTTGATTTGGTTGTCTCCTAAGAGCCAGCTCAGTTCCCTTTCCAGCTGTGTCAGTCAATGTGGAGCACCATCAGCAATGAGACTGAGCTCGGTCTCCTCCTGTCATGTGTGCGTTCTTAGAAAAACCTGCTAGTGGGGCGTAATCAATAACGAT